TCTCTCTCTCTCTCTCTCTCTCTCTCTCTCTCTCTCTCTCTCTCTCTCTCTCTCTCTCTCTCTCTCTCTCTCTCTGTTTCTGATATCAGAGAGAGAAAACGATATTTGAATCAACAGTGTCGGTATCGGATCGCGTTAATTAGCCAACGTCTGTTAAAAGTGAAAGGGGAAGTGAAACGAAGGACGAAGGGAAAGAGACGAGGGACGCGGAGGATCACTTCCGGAGAAGGAGGGGGAGCGTAAAGACGTTGTAAAGTCGCGTCGGATTGGCTGTGCCTTTAACATGCTTTCAACCCAAAGTTACATACATTCGCGATTAAAAGGGAAGTAGTACTTTCGAGTTGCTAGGGGAGAGAGGTCGTCGCCGGGCCTCTCGAATCGGCGCGCTTTCTTGGCACGTTCTCATATGCGGGCTTTCATGCGAACGTTACGACTATTGCAGTCTGGGGAGTTTCGAGCGAGAATTAGCTCGGCGCGATTAAGCTTACAGCCCCCGGATCGAGATAATCGTTAGCGCCAAGTGATTTAGATACGGCTGCCGTCGCCGTGGAAAACTTTGTACGTAGCCGCGGCGCCGTTCTTAATCCTGCCGGCAGTATTATCGCGAGACAATAGACGCACGCTGAAATTTCTTTTCCTACGTAGGATACTAGCCTACCTACTAGCAGGAGATGGACATTTTTCCACGGTTAATAATTTCGTGGTCCGCCAATTTCAGTTGCGCCAGGACCGAGCCGGTGAAATGGAGCGTATACTTTCGCAGTCAGATTTTTATTGTTTTTATCTTTGCAAAAGTGTCAGATTTCCGCTTCTTTCGTAGAACTGCGAGACATGGATGAACGAATGATCGATAAAGAAATATTCAATGGATAGTCGATAAGAGAAAATATTGCGAAATAAAGCGTTAACTCGTTCTTTAATAATGGGTGGATCGAAAGGTTGACCCACGTGGCTGTAACAGGGATATTTTCGAGGGATCGCTTGTGCTAGTTTATTGCCATAAGCTCCGTTTGTTTAACGGGTAATCATGGACTGGAACGAATTCAACAATAAATACGCTATTTCAACAGCAAATAGCGCGGATCTGATACGGTTTATTGGTAGCGATATAATTTGCTTAATGGCGACTCTGCGTCGGGGCGTTCGTAATGTAGGGAACGTTGGAAGGGGAGCTGGTTATTTTATACAGCGCGTGATTGATGGAAAATTTCTAGGGAAAATAGCGCGGAACGAGTGGAACGCAGAAGCAGATACAAAGTTGCGCGGTGGTGAATGATGAACCGGCGGGTGACGTGTGCAATAAAATTATAAAGCTACCGTCGCGCAATCCGTGGGATTAGAAGTTGCATTTTGAAAGGCACATTCACTTGGAGAGTGAGTTTCATTTTTAGCCCAGGCTCGCGGAGTCTTTTTACCATTACGTTCCTGGAAATACGTTGTGGATAATGATTGACGTATTTGGGACAAGATGCTCGAATTTCCAGCATCGAGTCGCCCGATCGGTAGAAATAGAATTATACAGTTTCAGACCGAGTAGAGAATCGTGAGTGATAGTTTTTCACACGTGTCCTCAATTCGCACGTCAAATTCTCGCGACAAATTGAACCGAGCGATCAAGTGATTTCGTTTGTACTACATACACAGAGACACCGGGCCGAGAGGTGAATGTAATCGGAAGATCTCGACAGAGCGATCATTCTTTTGGGAAAAGTTTGCGGAGGCAAGGGGTAAACCACCCCGGTTTATGAAGACGTTGGCGATCTTATTTCTGACGAAAGCCGGTCCGTACCCTCGGACCGGATGGATTTTGAGTGCATTAAAGATGGAGGCAATATCGGCGATGGGATTATCTTTGGACGAGCGATATCACGGACGAAAATACTCCCGTTGCAGTCGAACGGAGCGAACAGTCCGTCGCAGTACCGTGTCCGAGGATTAAGCGAGAATTACCTTGGATTCCGGGCTCTCGAATTCCGTCCACTTAATCCTGTTTCTGTCGGTCTACGTATACGCGGGCAACTTGAATGCCATTTTCTTGTTCGTAATTCTTTACCGGTTAATCTTAAATCCTCTGTTAATTGCGTCGTTGTAAGTGGGGGACGCGGAGCGGCGCTACATCCTCGGTGAAACTTTCCCTTTTTTTTTTGCTTTTTCTTCTCTGTCGTCTTGTTTGCTCGTTCCCTTGCTGCGTTTCGAGGAATGAATAACGAGGCTCGCACTAACTTGCTTCGAAATTGTTTTCACGCCGGCTGTCGATTATTTATCCGCGGCGAACCAAGTGGAAATTTAGCGCAATTTTTAGGATAATAAAATTCTCGAGTTGCACGATTGTTTGTTTTTCTCTGCGAGAGATCGATCTTTCTCCTCGAGGAAAATTCGGGGTAGACAATTTTCAGTGGAATTCGGAGGACCGGGCAATTAAGCTCGGCTCGATGAACAAGCCGACCTGACGGATATTTTTGTTTTGCAGGTGAGGCTGCGCTGAAACGACACGTGCTCCAGGGATGCGAGAAATCGCCGGCCCATTAGAGTCGCGATCCCGTGAGGCAAGCGTTGCCGAGCGAAGCGTAAAACGAAGCGTATCCACCAGAAACCATAAGAGAATGCGATCCCCGGGAACGCTGGAGGGATAATAAAGCAGAGTCTTTCTTAAAACCAGCCGGGTCACGGACGAACTTCCACCGTAGGATCCTCGAATAAATATGATGAGTTGGGTGATCCACGAGATTTTACGAGCCACCGTTCCAACCAGAACACGCGAGATAAACGCGAGGGATCTTTGATCGCCACGTTTCGCATGGAACGGGAACCAGCTCTCGGCCAGAATCAACTTGGTCCATGAATGATCGAAAAAGTGGCGATCTGTTGATACCGGGCGCCGCGAACGCTTCAACGATAACCAAACGAAGAATAACAACGAGACAGTTGTCGAGCCTGTTCGTGATTCTGGTCGATCGTTTCGTTCGTGAAACGTAACGTAAGATTCGTTAATCGATCGTTCTCGACGGCGAAGAAGAAACCACAGAAGAGGCGTGACCCAGTTCTCGTCGGTTTCATTTGGAGAACACCGCACGATTCCCCCTTATCTTGGCCGATTTCCATTCCCGGCGCACGAACGTCCCCGTCGTTTCGCGTCCCGCCACGTCGCGTACGTAAAAATATAACGAGCGCGGCTTATGGGTCACGACGGGGGATGGGAAAGGGTGAAAGGGAAGCGGATGGATCTGCTCGGAGGCCGCGCGATATAGCCGCGCCTTCGGCCGGTATAATCTCATAAAACCTGCAGGGGAGTCCATCTACGTGAGCGGTAAAGCCGTCGACGACGTCTCGGCCCTCGGAATTGGTACATCGAGCATTCGTCCCAGCCACTTTCGACAGTTGCGGCCCGTTGTATTTCACGCGACAGACGAGTGCCGCTCGTTCGGTGAACCCATTCCACTTTCTCTTGAACGAATTCCACTTTCTCGGTCACCGTGCGGTTCCCGAGTCTACGATCGCGAACGTTACTTCTCGATCGATTCTTTATAAAGTGACGCGAGCCATTTCAACGATCGATGAACCACGGAATCTCACGTCGGAAGAAGAAGTGAGAGAACCATCGTGCGATTTAAACTCTCCAAAGATCCATTATCATTCACATTTCACTTTACTATATACAGATTTTCCAAACGTTGCCCAAAGTTTTTCTACGCGTAGTCTCCGAAGGATAAAATATCCCAGAGGAAAGAGGCTTGTCTCGTCGTAGTTATGTTCGATGCATTCTTCGTTGTACGTTGTCTGAGCTGTACGTTGTTCGAGTGAACGAAGGATGGATCAGGTGCACGTGAAATCGTCGAGATCGACCTCGAGGAGCAATCCGGCGAAAATGGCGTGCGAGAAGGCGAGCAGACGGCTCAGGACGATTCTGGTGAAGGCGTCCCGTCTTGGCGTCTCGACGACAGAAGTTGCCAAGTTACCCAGCGCCAAGAAGCTCATCCCGCAGAGAGATCACGGATGGAAGTTGGCGGTGTTCCTCCTGGTGATGTTCGGCGGCGGCGTGATCGTCGCGCTAGCCTGCACAGCGAGGAAAGGCTGCTCGAAGCTGGAGGAAATCGTGAGTAATATATTAATCCTAATCGGGAACCGTCCGAGTCGGTTCAGTTTTAATCGTCCTGTTTAGTGAAATGAAAAATTTCTGCGATTCTTGGTGACGATCCTGTATTTTAATATCTTTTTAAATTTCCAAACTGATGTCTTCGATTGGCAATTTCCTTTGTTTGGCGAGAACATCGGTTTCCAATCCGACGCGATTAAGAATTTTCCTACAAAATTCATAGATATGAAACATATCAGTCGAATGTTGTAACTAATGTGGAATTAATTTGAGCGTCGCTCGACGAGCGTAGAATGTATTTAGCGTAGAAAAATGGTGAAAAAGGAAATTGAATTCAAATATTTATACTGCCTGACCTTGTTCAAGCTGTTTTTACTGTTTCAATAATTCCCCGCTTGGAAAATGTGCTCCCGTAATTAATTCCATTCAAATATTTACGGGACACATTTTCATATCTTATGCATGGCACCGATGAACATTCGCTGACGCTCTTGTGATATTTCGCGAATTATTCGTCCTCGTTCCACCCAGCGATAACAGCAGCGTATAAAAATTTTGTCGGCCGATAATTTTTCGCTGAAAAACGGCCGAAATATATCCACGCGAAGTTTTTATCGTTTTACGTTTTACGTTGCGGAGAATTTATTCGCAAAAATGTCCCATGTCGACGCTCGTCCGACTAAATTAGTATTATTTTAACACGCTCGAAGAAAATCTTCGACGAACAAGAGAAAGAACCGACAAGATAGAACGGCCCTTACCCTTTCCTTTTAAACGAAATGGCATATCTTTCTCATCCCTTTCTTTTTCTATAATGGAGGACCTTCAAATGAGTTACTGGACCTACGAGAGAGAAAGAGAGCAGGGTAATTGAAGGCCGTTTTAAATCCCTTTGTTACGAGGCAACGTTATACATATTGATGAGGCGAATTAGGCGCGTACGGTTACACGAATGTCCGTAAACGAGAAAAAGTTGCAGGATAACGCGCGCGTAAGTGCAGGGGGATTTGAAAGTATAGTGGCGTGTTGCGCGTAGAGCTGTGTACAAAGAGATCTGGAAATGGCCTTCGATGATCTGCATTCATAAATCGTCGCGCTCGTCCGAGAGAGAGGATCTCTTTTTCTCACGCAGCGGGACGAGTAAAGTAGAAAACCAGAAAAAGAAAAAAAAGAAAAAAAAGAAAAGAAAAGAAAAGAAAACAGAGAAAGAGAAAGAAAGAAAAGAGTAAAGTGCACGCTTCATTTCAATTATTATCGAGTAAATATCTTCTCGGATCCTCGTCGTCGTCGACGTCGGAGCGGAAAGCATTTTGCATTTGGGGGAAACTCGGAAAACCGCGAGCGCGACAAATGGCCACTCTTCCAAATCTACTGCGTACTTTATTCCCCTAATATCTGTTTTCAATCCTCGCTCCGCGCCGGCGACGCTACACTTTGTCAGGTTGCCCCGCGGGAACAACATGATAAAACTATATTCTCGTGCAAAGCGTCCCGATAGATCCGGATCAAACTCCGCGGAGTGCTCTCCGTCATCCTATCGAAGCGACTTGCCACTTGTCTGACTACGCACTGTCGTATTCCACTGTCGCGGACACAGCGGCCGCGTGACGACGCGTGGAAACGAGAGGGGACGCGCGATTAAACGCGGTGGAGTGCTATACTAGTGCTAAAACTTTGCAGTTAGTAGTTGTCCAGCGACGGGGGAGATGGGACGTGCATGCGCGAGATATCGACTGGCGTGTCGGTGCCAAGGGAGGAGAGAAAGGAAAAGGGCGAGAAAGTAAAGCGTCGGGACGGTGGAGGTGGAGAGATAGAGAGAAAGTCATTGAACGGAATGTCTGGCTGGTGTGCAAGAAACTAGTACGACGAGAGGGAACGGTAGAGAGAGAGAGAGAGAAAGAGAATGGTAACGGGAAGGGTAGCAGGGAGATGGAGTGAAACGGAGCGAGAGAGCCGTGTTAACGATGTTTCGTGTAGAGAGAGGAGACCGGGCGCTGAAATTACAGATCAAGGGGTTTCTAAACAATTACGCTGTCGGCAGGAGGTCAGGCCGAACAGCGTGAGGTTAGAGGTTACGGCTCGCAGGAGCCGAGGCTTGCGGCCTGCGGCTGGTTGCGGACGAGGGTCGAGGCTAACAGGAAGTGCTCTCTCGCCGCTGCCGGCCAATGGCCGGGGTGGCTACATCGGTGACTGGCTAGAGAAACGGAGCGGCGCTCTCTCCTATCCTCTGATATTCCCTCGGGTACCGGTCGGGTTCCATTGTCCCTTCGGGGCCAAAGAGAGATAGATACACGTCCAAGTGTGGGGGAGAATTTCCGAGGGCAAGGATAAGAGTGGATGGTAAGGTTTTAGCGGGTGTGGTAACCGGCAGCCGGGTGTGTTGCGAGAGAGGTTTGAGCGAACAACCTTCCCAACGAACAGCGTTTCCACGGCTTCCACCGTGGGGAAAGCCTGTACACACAGTGTTGTACGCGTGGATCGATCGGTCGCAATAACCGCAACTTGGAAAGTTCGTCTCTCTTTGAATGGTCGACAGGATTGGTAGCGATTTTCACTGACGTGGCACGAAGTCGGCCCCGTGATCATCGGGGCTAACCGGCTGATTGCCGATCAGAAACATCGCCGGCGGCCAATCTCAAACCAAACCGTCGTTCCCCGAACGCGTTAGCCGAGCCGAACCGAACCTAGGCAATCCCCTTTCTCCTCCGTCAGAGTCGTGTGTCCTCTCTCTCTCTCTCTCTCTCTCTCTCTCTCTCTCTCTCTCTCTCTCTCGCTCCATCTATTCATCCTTGACTCCTTTAACCTCTCCACTTACACCACCCGTTACCTCGGTACCTGCCGCTGGTCGGTCGTGCGAGCCTGGTTCCTTGAACTCGATTCCGGGGCCCTTGACTACTACTACTACTACTTCGGGCCATGGAACCGGGACCAGGAAGCACGACCGAGGGCCCCTTTGATGTTGGCGAGCAGATCGGTCTCTCGGCCATTGCTTATATAAAGCTTGTTAACGCTATCTCACTGCACGGCTGATAGACGCGCATGTATATTCGGTTAGACGAGCCGAGATACGGGACACCGGCGGAGATGGAGCGTGAAATTCAAAGTAGCACCGATATCTCTCTCTCTCTCTCTCTCTCTCTCTCGTCATAGCTGACCGAGTGAGGTATTCTCTCTCAGTTCGAAGGAACTATGTATGTACCAACTAGCGGAAAAAATCGCCAGTATTCCAGTACACCGCGGTTTAACGGACTCTCTTTCCTCCCCTCCTTGATACCCTTGGTCCGTTGTGTAACTAACGTGTCAAAGGGACTGGAAAGATGATGGAAAAGAAGAAAGCGGCACGCTGCAATGCCGTAAATTAATCGACTCTCGCTTCATCACCGTCTACCACAGATATACAGTGTACGTTGTAACGTGAAAGAAAGTGGAAACGCGAGAGACGAGACAACATATTGCCACCCGTCTGATTGTGAGACGAGGGAAACGTGTGTGTGAGAATATACGACAAGCGAAGATAGAAAAATTGCCAGGATCGAAAAGCCAGAGAAAAAGGCTGAAAGAACGGAGGAGGGCAAACGAAACAATAGACTGGAGTAAAACTGGACCTGGCCAGGACCGTGTCCAGACCAGCGGCGCAGGTTCGCAGATTCGACGGTGAAAATGCACCGTCTACGCCGTCAAATCCCATCACGGGGACGGCATAAATTTCTCCGGCGGCTGACCCCTCCCTTTTCATTCCCTGCGCTCGCCTAGCCCTATAGATACGGCTCCTCGCAATGTCACGACTCGCTCGCCGTTCCCGCAGCGCCGTGTCACACGGAGCCGCACAGAGCGGACATTTATGATTCCGTTCGTTCCTCATCATGCGTGGAGAACGCGCCGTTCCACGCTCCGCACATACGCGGGCACATTGGCCAGCACACGAGCTCGTGTGAACGCGTCGTGTACCCGAAATTCTGGTCACGCTGACTCGATCGCAATAATTTCCAGAGACTCGAGCATCGAAACAAAACCTCCCCGCTCGGCCCCGAGGGAATAGCAGAGCGTACGTAGATGTGTACGTATATGTATATATATATATATTTTTTTTTTTTTAATTGGACCTGACCGAGCGAAAAATTTGCAACGCGAACACCGTGGCTGAATATCGCGGCCAAACGAGAGAGAATGTTCTGTAAGCATTAGTTCGAAACAGGTTTAATTTGGCGAAAAGGCTCGGCCTGGAATAATACACCGAGGCCGATCGTTCAACGTATTCGTTGAAACTAAATAAACCATCCGGTCGATTTGTTTCAACGTTTTTTTCACACGTTCGGTTTTAATCGTTCGCGGTCTCGATCACTGTTTCACCTCGTCGATGGAATTTGTCAAGTGCTGGTCGATGGATTTCCTTTCTCGAAATCCTTCTCCAAAGTCTCGGAAATCGAAAGGCTCGAAGTTACGGAAAGAAAAATACGAGTGCCAAGGCGTTCGACGGACGGTACTCTCTCTCTCTCTCTCTCTCTCTCTCTCTCTCTCTCTCTCTCTCTCTCTCTCTCTCCCCCACTTTCTCGCGATTTATGTTTGTGTTTCGACGTTGAACGACACTCGGTCTCACGAAGGAAATTCCCTTTCTCTCTCTCTCTCTCTCTCTCTCTGAATGATACTCGAATTAACTCTTTAAGCGACAGGAGTGGATATATCCCGAAGAAGTAGGTTTTTCATACGACAGATCGAGCAGATATATCCATCACTGTCTTTATTTGTTTGGAGAAGGGAACGTGATTGCCCGTTCGAGTGAGATTTTCTCTGTCGTTCACTCTGTCGTCGATGGAAGCTTTCTCGACAGCTCGCCCACCGCCACTCGACCACCGTCGAGTATAAAAAAAAAGCTGTCACGAATTCCTGTCTCGAATATTTTCGGAACGACGAGATTCGAAATTAATATTCTAATTGGAAACTCGGCGCATCGAATTCGTCTGGCATTTAATCCGTTGTTGCTGTTCAATTCGGGGAGAGGG